CATACAAAAGAAACATAGTTTTGTTTCAACGGCTTACAAATTCTACGCCCTTATAGTAACATTCCTGGGGGAATAAAGACTTATGTTAGCAGAACAAACATATTTACGGTCAAGAATATTTTGAAATGAAATGTATATAAATTAAAAATCGATTATAAATTGAAAAAAAAGGTAAGACATTTCTAATGATTATAGCAACAGCACGGGACAATGTGGATGCCGGTGCAAGTTCTGCCCGTGTCGACTATTTTTTTTTTAATTTATGATCGATTTTTAATTTATATAGTGCCATGATCTGTGAAAATAATAAAGTTTTTAAAATGTTTAAATTTAGCATTGCATTAAACTATAAGCCACTTCATCGCTAAAACTTTATTTTATATTATTATAAAGTTACATCAACTTACCTGAAGTTAAAATAATGGTTAGTTTGGTTTGGTTTGTCATTCCATTAGTTACGTTCTAACATTTTTCAGGTAGATTTTTAATTTTATTACTTCAAGTACTATTAATTAAACTTTATTATTTAGGTGGCATTTAAAAGTTTTTGATGAATATTTTTTTTATTGAAATTTTATATTAAGAATCTTTTTTTGTCTAAATATATATTTATTGCACCGGCATCCACAGTGTCCCGTGCTGTTGCTCTAACCAATTGAGCTACAGAGGGTAAAATTTTTCAATGTCCAATTGATTTTTAATTTATGTGCAATAACATGTGAAAAATATTAAAGTTTTCAAGTTATTAAATTTTAAATCATTCTGCAAGTGAGTGTATCGTTTGTATTGAAACGTAAATAAATTCGAAATTGGTGATAAAAAATGACACGACCGAGGAATTAGTGGCACCGCCCGTGTCCAGGGATACTTGGTACCGGGCATGAGTGACAAATAGTGCTCGTGGCTTGCTTTTATGCGATGTCATGCTCCGTCTATAGAAGCGATTCGATTGTGCGGTAATATCCTCTGTTCAATTTGTTCTTTTTGAACAAACGATTTGATTCGGTGATAAAATCATGACTTACCAGACGGGATCTTTTTATTCGCTTTATATTATTTATAGTATGGTAGTAATAGTATACTTTTCGTGTTTCGTTTCAGTACAATATTATTAATTTATTTTATCTACAAAATCTAAGATTCGGATTCCTCATACGCGAAAATATAAAATACCAGCTATGCTCGCGGCTTCGTGCGCGTGAAGTGGTCATTTTGGGCGTCATATTATTGCAAATAACCTACTTTATAAATTAAAGCCTTAAAATGAGTTAACCTTAAAAGATAATATATTGTCGCGGACAAATTTTTAGATCGTTTAAAGAAGAATCACTCTTTTATATATATTTTTCAGTTTTTTTAATCGTTTTGGCGCCGCACGCAACTGACACTATTTTTCCCCTTTTTTTCCACATTTTTTTTTATCGCTCCTATTGGCAGCCTCATGTTAAAAAGTTAGTAATTTTTCAATTCGGACTAATAGTTCCTAAGGTTAATATGATTAAACAAACAATCTCGCCAGCTTTATAAAACAGCGAAAACATAATGTCCCCAAAACTATTCAACTCGACAATCGAACTCCCGACCTCCCAACTCAACCAGCACGGCCCCATCGAAAAGAGAAGTAATAAAATCTTATAGCATCATCTTATCAGATACAAAACTCAATTTTTAAATCCCTATTCGTATTCATGTTTCTCGACAATTATGCTAAGGAGCTTACGATATCGATGTATAAAGCGAAATCGGAATGACTTGTTACGGACCTGTCATAGGTCTGAAGTAGATCAGTAAACACAATAGTAAGTGAAGTTTTCGAGTAGGTAAATACGGAGGCGATTGGATTGAAACGAAGACAATACTTTCGACGACGCGTAGGGAGCTATTTGTATGCGTAATAGAGGATCGAATTTCGTATTTGTTCGTGGAGTCGTTAACAGCACCTTCACGGTTGTTTATAAAGAAAACAAAACCCTGCCGGGTGGGGGCGTGGGGTGGTCGAAGCGCCCTACCCGGATAGTAAAACCGCAGATATCAAAATGAGTTTTATGGGGAGCGATAGCTTTATAGAATTCAATTAGTTCGATTAAGTTTTTTGTGTACAGACTGGAGGTGTGCTTTTCAATCCCTAATGAAGGCTAAGTGGTAGTAGTGTTAACACTCACTCACCGGGGAAAGCCTAATTTTAGGGGAGTGACTTAATACATTTATTTATTTAAGAATAGTAGATAAACAGAAATACCACGGTAACATATTATAAGGAAATGACAAAAAAAAATTAGTACAGATATTTCATTAAATAGTTACAAATATAAAATCGAGGTGCATGAAGAAGTTATACAAATAGACCATAAAAAAAGCAATGATAGGCATTAAAGATGAAATGTATAAAATTGACGACACGGAACTCAAACCGGCATAGACAGCGGTCCGTGCTGCTGTCTAACCAAATAACCTACCGTGTAGTTGATTAAAGCTTATTCTTATTAAGTGAATCACCAACGACGATTGTCACCGACACATGTAATATTTAAGAACCGATATTTCTGTTGTATAAAATAAATAACTTAGACAGAACTTAAACCTACGACCACGTCGTTTAGAGCTGTTACCAATTAAGATATTTGTTTGAGCTAGATACAATTAAGCTTAACTTAAACTTCATGGATAAGACATCGTCATTCGTTAAACATTAATCATTATTCATTAAGTAGGTAATAAGAAACACGAACGCCGTTTAATCTATTCGCTGTATGCTTTAACCGTATAAAAAACTACACGTTACAAGTCCGAGGTTATGGAATTTAACGATACCAACAAGTCTTGTACTACAAGGAGGTTACATACCAAAAAGTCGATGGCGCATGAAGCAAAGTCACGCGCGGAGGATTTTGTGCCCACACGTCCCGCCCGTCTGTACGCTCGCTTTACTTAATCGTTTAAAGCTCTCCCAGACAGGACATATACTTATGTTAAACAATTCGTTACTTAGTCTTATAATTATAACTCGAAAGTTGATTCACTCGCTAGAATCACAAATGTGCTTATGCATCGATACGAATGTTTGTCTAAACTAATTTTATTTTGATCTATTCCACACTTCCTATCTCACAAAAGCTTATTTTATCACCCGTCTCTATAATCTACAATTAAAAAGAAATTTAAAACAATCAGATGGACGAAAGAGTTATGCATTATTCTAATCACCTTTTATGACATTTTAAACGCCCAAATGATGTCATCAAAGATTATTATGATAAATATCTCAATATCTGAGATAATAGATCTATGATTACATAATTAAGCAAGCCTTAAATCGTGTTACACGACACAAAAGCTCAAGACAGCTTTCCAAAATTTAGTGAAGTAACATTAGAAGAATTTTATACGTTTTGATATTATGTATTATGATTTTATGGTCACGGCGTTTTTAACTGTGGACGGTGGTTCGTGATACCGCTGAAATTGCGATATTCTTACCATCCACTTATTAGTCCGATTTCAAGATAAACTCCAACTATAACTAGAAAAAATAAAAAAATAATTAGTAAAATGGTGGATCCGGTGGGGATCGAACTCACGAACTATTGTTTTATATTGCTACCGTTACACCAACGATCCGAATCAAAGCCGACGACTATTTCAAAATTTGTTGATAAATTCATCTTTTTCTTTACACGATAATTTCGTAAAGTACTGCAGTGATTTTTTGCAGTTTTTTTTGCAGCAAAAGCTAATGGTGAAAGGTTTTTTTAATGATTTTGCATTCGTAGCAAAATATAAACCGAATTTATAAATTTGAAAATTATTATACATATTCTTAAATGTTCCATACTTAATATAATTAAACTTTACATATCTCATAATGTTACTTTTCCACATAGACGAAGCTAGCAAAAGATTGTTAGTAAACTTGGAAATCAAATACATACTTCAAAATCTGTAATTTTCATACGAAGAATTATATTAATTGTATAGAAAAACAGTGCCAATTGATAGAAAAAATCACGGTGTGGTATAGGTACAAGCTGTGGTCGTAGATCTTATTCCGCCACTTATTGATATATAATTTAAGATATAAAAAGTTCTCGTTAACTCGTAACTAACAGTATTCAATTTTACGTTATTTATATACACGATACACTAAATTGATAACATATTGTTAAATAATATCTTGAAATTTATTGAAATGTATATAAAATGCAAATAACATAGGTATCTCCCACGCAACAATAGCCAACAGCTATGGGGGATATGAAAATTAGGGAATGTTTATTAAAATATGCGTAATATTCCACCGATCATGAACGAACCGGTCGTCAAACTGTCAAATAAAGCAGTATTAATTTGTAAATGACTTTTCATCTGTCTGCTTCGAACAAAAAACCTTTTTCATTTACCAGAAAGTTCCTTCGGTATAAACTATGTTTCTTTAAGAGCGTTCTGAAAAATATCTTACCCGGCTTTATTTCACAAGGTCGCTTTTACTTGGACCGGGCACGTTTGTGTCATTCATTTTCCTTATGGAAAAGAAAATCACAGAAAAGATGTCAAGGTTAGCAAATAATAGAATTGATCAATTAATTACGGTTTAGGGTTGCGAATGCTTTTAAACGCATGAAGTTCGTTCGTCCTATAAATTTAAATTCAATCGTTTTTAAATATGCGTTATGTGCCACTACCTTGGGTTAAAATTATGGTCCCTTTATTTTTATAGATGTCTAAATTGTTTAGGAGCAGTTTAAGTAGGCATACATGGTGTCAAGATCACGTCGGCATAGCGTCGCGCCACCGCCGTGGGTGACAGGCGCCTCTCCCCCCACCACCGAAGTCCGCACCCCCGCGAGCATCCTCTTTCTACCCCCAACAACCCGCTTACCACGCATGCTCCAATTATAATCTCTTTAGGGATGTCCTGTGTCGATGAATAACTTAAACGATTTTGCAAATTAACAATAATGATTAGGGCTGACCATTTAATAAACTACAATTTAATTGAATTTCTAAAATGTCCAATTGAAACAAAATATAAGCACTTTATTATAACTAAATTCAAATAAGTAGTGTAGTCCTAGCCTCGAACATTTGGTTTTGGTTACTTGATTGAGATCCGGCTTGAAGGACCTAAAAATAAGTAATTGCTGTAATAGCTTTGTTAACTCATACAATGTAGAGGTGATGTATTAATTTTAGTGAAAGTCTGATATACCTATTCTTAAAATGTTTTATACTCTCCAAACCGTCGACATCAGACAGGGCGGCATTATCTGGTCGCAGTTGATGCGCGCGCAGTGGCGTCGCGAGGAGGGCTTCAAATCGCCTGCGGAGGGCGACCGGTTCGCGCGTTCCCTCAGTCGCATCGTCTCTTAGCACAACACCTCTAGCGGTGAGAGGTGCACTTGGTGCTCGTCGCGCGACCTGCTGCGGTCATTGACCGATACGGCGTCCGTACGCCGCCTGACCTCCGCCCTAGGATATAGGCCGCCTGTGATCTTATCGTTACTGACAGGTAGTCCTAGCGTGATACCTAGCAATATACCAGGTGTAACCCTTGTGTGGCCGACTTTTTATTGCTTTGGGTGTTTATTGTTTCCCTTGAATGTGTTCTACAAATTCACCATGTAGGAGGCTAACGTGTATAGTTTGCGGGACGTTGACGTATCGGCATGGCGTGAGTTTTGACCTGACTGACCTAATTCTCGCATGAATGACTCGAGAGCCATTTATCAGATGATGCATTACATAGATACTGCGTAGACCGTACCCTGTATTACCTGAAAAATAAATACGTTTATTGATTCAATCAAAAATTAGTTACAGCTGCAATAGACACAATGTTACGCAGTTTCCGTGAGTTAAAATTACTCTTACGACCTAGTTGGATCCTCTTATCAAAATGTTTTAGGAAAACCTTGTGAATTTATTAGAAATTATTTATTTTATTCCCCTGTTATTATACTAATTATAAATAACCATTAACCTGTCCATTCAATCAAATTCCAAGCGATAGGCGTGCGGGAAATTAGGAAACCTCGGTTCTCTTATGTAATAATTATGTCGTCGCATAAAACTACTATGTTTTCAAAGTATGACAATATTAATTGGAAAAGACACTGTTTTTAAACGTTTATGTAACGATAATGTAAGGATTAATAAAATGTGTGCAATTCTGTAAATTAAAATCCCTGATAATTTTTAAACTTTATACCAATAATGCTAGTGAAGTTATTTTTACCGGAGAATTATTAAAATTTGTATATGTCAAAGAATGAACTAAACAAGTAATGTAATAAATGAGATCAATATTAATCATAATTCGAACAGTTAACGCAACGCAATATAACATACATATTATCCGTTTCGATAGTGTAAAGTACCCAAATAATAAGTAATATTATATCTATCATAACTTAAATAATATAACATATTATCTGATTATATATGATCTAGAAATGGAATTTCATTATAAATTATTTATAAAAGGAGACACGCAAACCTCTGTTTAGTTATATTAAAAAGAAGTAGTTTATTCAAAACGTTTCAAATATAAAAAAGGTTGAATGCCGACGGGTTGCCAGCACTGATCGAGAACAAAGATATTCTAATCGCTCGTCTGTAGGCTGTATCTTTTTTTAATCCCATGTAACACGTGCTTTGAACAAAATTATTATTGCTTCGAGAAATTCAAACTAAAGCAGAGAATTATTAGAAATCCTCTTAAGAGATTTCACTTTACGATAAAATTAAAAGAGAACTATAGAAACGACTTACAATAATGAAATGTTTAGAAGGAAACTTAATTTAATGATCATTATTTTTATCAGTGTTATATTGCTTTTGTACTAAGTTAAATTTGTCTTTGGAAGGTATGACTAATCAGTTCAAATATTGTATTTGAGGAAGAGTAATCATTTACATATGTATGATAAAAATTTATTACGTAACTATTAAAAAAGCTTGAAATATACAGTGTATCTGGCCCTTAACATAGAATTTTTTAATACCGCGATGTATCAAAAACATTTAGCTATCCACCGAGTGCGATCACGCTACGTTCAAAGCTCGTTCAACTAGAAAGCTATTTTGAAGTCTGCGGAAACATAAAGTTAGGAAAGGATGTTCTTTTTACGACTTTTACGAAAAAGAGAATATACTGGAATGATACTTTGTTTATACGAGTACACACATGAATGGATCGCAGTTGCACCGTCTACTTTAGTTAAATGGATTTAGACAAATGTAAATTTATGTATTAAAATAAAGATATTAAAAGCTCAATTTTTTACTTATACATACATAATAAATGTTCATGGCTCTTCATTTAGCTGTTATTTTCTCAAATACTATTATACTATCGGTAGTTTACGCGAGTAGTGCACATTTAAACAAAACACTTTGACGGTTTAAAACGCGATATATTTAGTTAAACTTGATTAAAATATATCGCGTTTTAAACCGTTAAAGCGTTTTATTTCAATACTATTAATATTTTAAAGTGAACGTTAGTTTGTGACTTTTCTACTATCATATGGAATTAATTGAAACTTGGAAAAATAATGTATTATTCATAATAATAAATACTATAACTTACAGAGGTACTGTATAAATGTGATGGAACAAATTTGTCATATGTTAAATACTCGCATTAAGAATTACATTTCTGTTTATTGCACTGTGAATACGATGTTTTTTTAATCTTTAATCGGCTTATCCCATTTTGATAAAACTCTAAAGTAGGAAAACTTTTTTATCACGCACGATATTTTTGCCTGTAAGCTACAAGATCTTAAAACGTAATGTTTGCTCGTTCAAAACATAATAGTCAAAAATTGTAATACGTTATACTTAATAAACATTTATATGTGCCTTACCCTGGAAATTCTAAGTCAGGGGGCAAATCTAGAAAAGGCCGCTTAGATAGGACTTATTAAATAAACGAGACAATAACCAATAACGTCACTCGTACATCGCTGCGAGTTTCAAATTAATTTCCAACATTAACTTGGCAGAACATAAACATAGAAACTTACCACGATTTGAATTATTCGCTATTTCCTGCGAGAATCATTGCTCAGAAATAGTTTGAGTTAAATGAATCTAGTAACATCGCCAGCCGTTGCGTTGATTTATCACTAGGCATTCTTTAATACTGATATTTTATTGGTGAGATTGCAATATTAATTATATTTGAAGTGTGGCTGTTAAAGTAAGATAATTATTATGTAAAATATTAATATCTTACTTCAACATGTATCTACTCTTAGTAATCGATAAATATATAAAAATAAATGCTAAGAATTAGCCTAGTAGTAACTTGGCCACCAAATATAATAACCGAAAATCTAAAGCCGAAATAGGTCGCGCATCTAGTTAAGATGTTATATGGCACATATTTTACCTACCATCACGTGAACCCTAAACTTGTCTGTTCTACTCTACCATAAAAAAAATAAAGGCTTTGAATTGTATATTTATGACTTTTTTGACTTAATTTTAAATACTGTCTGTGTCTGTCTGTAACTAGGTATTTTGTAAGATATCAGGTAGGATTTTTTTATACTGCGTGTATATTTTAATAGTTTAATGTGTAGCCGTAGTGTAGTATTGTATTAGACAAGAGAAGTGTTGCGTTCTCATCCCGGGAAAACTACATAACAAATATTTTGTCTAATCAAGTTGTTAAACGATATTCACCATTAAACGGAGACATCCACATATCTGCCCCATACCCCACAGGGAAACGGGTATAACGCACAGTTTAATTAGACTGGCCGGTACTGTATAAATAATATATTCAATGGCTAAACGCTATGCGCTTAGTCCGTAACGTAAACAAGAACCTGTTTGCGATACATTAACGGCAACTTGAACCCGGGGCCCGACGTCAATTAACCAAGACTTATTCCCGCAATTATATGCTCAAACTAAATTGCTGGAAAATTCGTCGATAGCTAATGGCCCGCTAATACTTCACCGTGACATGACGAAGATTGCTTCGAGTGGCCTATGTTCACACGCTCGTGTAAAAAATAGTGGGGCCAAACTGAAATTGGTACGTTGACTTATTGCGCCCGAGATAAGGCGGTATCAAGTGCGTGATATATTGGAAAGGTACGCAACATTCCTTTTTCAAAATTTCGTGAATATTACGGTAATTTCAGAACTTAACTCGCTTCTTAATATAAATGCTTTGGCCTGAACGACGAGCTGTCTGACTGTAGGGACTTGGAGCTTATATCGTACGGCGTAAACATCTGTTAAGAAAGGTTTTTGTAAATATTCTCCCTCAGGGTTTAAATAGGAGAGGAAAGTTAGGTTTCCTTATCCGATTCAATTAATTTGTATCGTAAATACTGTCTTTAGTTTAGGCGAGAGATGCTGTGCAGCAGCCGTGGTCAAGGGGAGACTGGCCGTAATTTTCAAATAAGTTTACCAAATATATATCGCGTTTTAAACCGTTAAAGTGTTTTTTTTTAATAATTTGTTTCGCTTTTTAAGTTCCGTTTAGTTTTTTACAAAAAAGGTACTTACGGTACTTACTTAATAAATGATAGTAGAAAATGATAACGCAACACGGTATAACGTTAGTCTACTCTAAAAACAGTTTTTAATATTGACCCGAATAAAAATAAAGTGCCTCGGCAACAACACTGTACAGACAAGTTTTATTATTGAAATAAAGAACAATGCGACGGAAATAATCGCTTTAAAAGCTGTGGTTAAAATCAATTAAAATTAATGATAAAATGTTTTTCCGGCCTTCCGCTGCGGTAAAAGCTTGATTGTTTAAATGGGAATTCCTTCGCTATCAAATTGCCCCCTTGTTTTTATTTTCGAAGTGACGTCACGTGTCACAAATGAATCGAATATTGTTTGCCAGCGCTGGCCTAATGTCCTCGGCTAATGCGAGGTGGTCGGACAAGAGGACAATTTCCGGCCTCGCCCCTACCTTCCCGCCATTACCTACTAGAAACAATTCCCAAACCATTATAATCATAATGCCAAGGCGACATTATTAATTAAGCTGCGAAGGAAAAGGTAGACTCAAGACTAAATGTTATGCACTGTTGTGCAGTAGGTACTCCATCTATTTACGACTTACTAAAATCAATACGACAGTGGAAAAATTCAGTGTTAGAAATTCAACTTAAAAGATTCAATTATTTTATTGATTGTACAAATCAAATTAAACGGTTTTAATTTAATCTAGAACATTTTGGATATTATTTGGATCTTAGTGTAGGTATATCAACCGCGTGAAATAATCATGTAATATTAACATTATGAAAATTATTTTAACTACGGCCCAACGTTACGGATGCTTTGCAGCAGCCGTGGCACAGGGAGACTTTGACTAATATATATCGCGTTTTAAACCGTCAAAGTGTTTTAATTAAATGTGTACTACTCGCGTAAACTACAGACAGTATTTAATTAATGTGATAATTATTTCAAATTTTTTTTTCAAGAAGAGTGTAATGAAAAATAATATAGTAAAGTCCACCAAGACAGAAGTAGCACTGCAAGAAGTCAAAAGTTCACTCGCTGACAGATGCAGGACTAATGACAAATTAAGCGTTTAATGTCGTTGAAAGGCGATTCGAACAAAAACTCTTAAAATAAAAAGCGTCGAGAGCTTTTATCTCCGAGTATTTTGCGAAGTCCGCGTTTGTTTTTAAACGAAGTATAATCCAAGTCGCTCCCGGCCCCTTTCAAAACAACG